ATATTTTAATATATTTTATATAATACATTTTATACTATATATATATATTTTTCCCCCCCCAGTACAAGGGATGGAACTCAGGACTTTGTGCTTGTGAGGCAGGTGTGGCTCCACTGAGCTAAATCCCTGGCCCATCCTGTGATTTCTTTACCAGTCTATATCCTCCTTTGTGATAGATTTGGGAAAAATGGAGACCATGTAAAAATAATAACCTGTGGACTTTCACCTCCCTTATGGGACACAATGAAAGCAGTCCTAAGAGAGAAGCTTATAGTTGTGAATGCCCATATCAGAAAAACAGAGTGAGTCCAGATACAGTATATAACCTAATAATACACTTCAAGGTCCTGGAAAAATAAGAACAACCCAAATCCAAAGCTCATACAAGGATAGAAATGATAAAGATCAGAGCAGAAATTAATGAAATTTTGAGACTAAAATAATACAAAGAATCAATGAATTGAAGAGCTAGTTCTTTGAAAGAGTAAACAAAATAGACAAACACTTAGCCAATCTCACCAGAAAAAGGAAGAAGACCCAAATTAATGCAATTATACAAATGAAAAAGTGAAATCACAATGAACATTGCCTAAATCCAGAAGAGTATTAGCAACTACTTTGAAAAGCTATACTCCAACAAATTGGGAAATTCAGGAGAAATGGATAGATTCCTGGATACATATGGATTACCAAATCAAAACACCAACAGCATTTCTTACAGAACTAGAGAAAACAATCCTAAAATTCCTATGGAACCAGAAGAGACCCAGAATAACAAAAACAATCCTGGGCCACAAAAGCAAAACAGGAGGCGGCTTTAAATTATATCACAAAACTACCATGATTAAAAACAGCACAATACTAGCACAAAAACAGACATCTGGATCAATGGAATAGAACAGAGGATGCAGAAACAAGTCCAGGCACATTTAACTATCTGATCTTTCATAAAAAGACCAGAAACTTACACTGGGGGAAAAATGGCCTCTTTAATAAATGGTGGTGAGAAAACTGGTTATCCAAGATTTAATGATATTATTTGAGAAAAGATCTCACTATGTTGTTCAGGCTGCCTTGAACTCACTGTGTAGCTCAAGCTGGCCTTGAACTCATGGCAAATCTGCTTCAGCCTCCCAAGTGCTGGGATTGTAGGAGTACACTGCCTCACCTGAGTAGATGATTGAATCTAGACCCATATCTCTCATCATGTACTAAACTAATATCAAAATTGATCATATACTTAAATGTTAAAAGAAATACTTTATCTGCAGGAAGATAAAATATGTAAAACTCTTAAAGATACAGAGGCAAAGACTTTCTGAACAAATCTCCAATTACACAAGAAAGAAATAACATTAAAAAAATCAACAAATGTGACCACATCTAATTTTAAAAGCTTCTGCACAGCAAAGGAAACAACAAATTGAGAGAAGAGACAGAATGTGAATAATTTTTCCAGTTATTCATTAGACAAAAGACTAATATCCAGAATACATTTTTAAAAACTC